CGATATAAAAGTTAAGTTATTGCGATTTTTCATATTGGAATTATTAAAAATATTAGGTAAGACAAATTTTATGGCTGATTAAGCTAATTAACTGTGTTTACTGAAATCATAAACCACAGAGAAAAAATATTTAAAGCTAATATTAATAAAATTAAGTTAACCATACATTTTATTTTATTAAAAATTTGCCATACAAATTTTGAAAATTCTTTTTAATGTAAGGGGAATTTCATAATAACGAGTAGTTCTTATTTGACTTTCTAATAGGTAAAAAACTATTAGTTAAAAAGAAAAAATGGATGTATATAGTCTCTATCTTTTATTTTCAATTATCTTTACGTACTTATCAAGTAAATACTATTGTCTAGGTTCATATTCGCGTCCCATTGTTTTAGTATAGTGATTTTAATTATTTTAACTAACGCATTCAGTGTTCCTAGGATTATATCAAATATGCAACTTAATAAACAGAATATTATCATATTTTATTTCAAATCCTACGAAAATAATGTAAATCTGGAAAAGTTTTTAAAATATAAAGCATAAACTGTACAAAATTCAACCTTTTTATATATTTTAGATTATAACTTTAAAACAATGATAATGGGGTTAATTTGTTACCAAGTAGTTTTAAAGTATGTCTACGAAGAATTATTATCCTTGTTGTCATAGGTACAAATTAGTGCGATATTTATATAATTTTTGCGTTTAAAACTTACTTATTAATCCTTCCAAAAAGTGTAGGAGAATATCGTTGTAAAAGACCCTGGTCATATTTGAACGTTTCTGAATATTTTGGAATTAAAAGGAAAGGTAAGTTAATTTATATTAACTAATTATTTAGAATTATTAATATGAGTAAAAACGACAAAGCAATAGATTGATTTAAGGTACAAATCGTTTAATTTATTTAATAATAACTAGTTAGTGCTTGGTCATATACTATGACTGAATGTCAGAGAAGACGCTTCCGCCATTTCAAAAATATCTCAAACTTCCTACTAAACTATCTTAACTTGGCCAAATAACTTAATATATTTATATTTCTACTATTACAATCGATAAAAAATTTTAAAATAAAACAATGTTTTGCCTCTTAAGTTTTAACAATAAGTATTTAGTATAATTATAAAATTTTTTATTTAATCTATCAATATTCGATACTGTAAAATAATGTCAATAACAACATCAACTTTTCATTTCAATCAACTGATTAGTTGGGAATGAGTATTTGAAGTCGTCATCCAATGATGGACTGACCATCCTTCTTAAAGTATAAATGGTTTGGGGAAGCCCTAGAAGCATTAAAAAATGTTATTAGTATTACTATCTGACTAAGATGTATGGTGTGGTTAAGACAATTAAGTGACAGTTTCTGATGCACACTGACGTGTCATGTGCACTTCATTTGCTAAAATAAGACTATCTCTCATTCCAGCAGTGGCATATTTAGAGAGAGAATGCATTGCGCTAATATAAAAATTTCTTTTTTCATTTTATTGCTTGTATTTAGCTCAAAATGAGTAAAATAAAACGCAAAAGTTTTCATAAAAATTTTTACTTTATCAAAATGATAAAGTAGTATATTTTGTTACATCTATTACAAACATGTATAAAAATAAAAGAGCTCAATGCAATATTTTATAGAAAAAAAAAATGTTTACTTATGAATCTATTGGTCTACAGGAACTTTCTACAGAATCAATAATATTCTTTTATAATTCAACTTTTTGCAATGTTTTCAAATCTGAAATTAGACTTTTTCTATCACTTCTAAGTTTTGATATTATAACTAATAATTAAAAATTAGTATTTACATATATAAAAAAATAATTAAAAAAACAGTTTTAAATTATTACGGATTTTGATTTTTATATCTTAAATATAATCAGCGCAAAATGTCATTTTTAACCTATTTTTTTTTATCCTTTAGAGTAGATTTTTTGGAAGTTCATAATAAAAAAAAGTTGAATTTGTTACCAAGACTTTTAGCTCAACTTGCAAGTTTAATATTGACATCATTACATAGAAAATTGAATAAATAGAATTTCAAAAAAACTCGGCACAGGGGAGTCGCGGCAGAGTACTGACGTGGCATAGTTGGATCAAGTAAAATGATATCTGATAGTGATTAAAATCACTATCAAAAAAAACGCTTCGATGCAAATCTTTAGATAGTGTTAAATTTTAAAAAAATTGGTGTTTTATTCCAAAAGCTACATGATCTGTTGGTTCCTTATTAATATCTCGATTAAGATAAAGTATGTCGAATGAAAGAGGGATTATTAAAAAATATTATTTCTCATAAGAAAATTGTGTTGATCTATACACTTTTCAATAAGTTATAGCATTATAAATTTAAAAATGTAAAAACTAAAATCGAGAATTTTCACACAATAATAGCATTTGTTAGCCATTTTCACCGTGAAGACAAAATTAAGTCCGAAATTTTTTTTTCCATAATAAAATACATTACATTACATTAGCTTTAATTTAAGATATATAAAAGTGGCAGGCTTTCTGGAACACTTTCAAAAGTTAAGTTGAAAATGTTTTGTAGGAATAAGTGGCCATTTTAAAATCCATCCTGTGGGCTGGTAAAGGGTCCAACTTTTACAAAAAAATACCAAATGATAATTAAATATCTAATGCATCATTAAGTACAACGCATCATAGTAAAATTAATACTTTCTCAGCTTCGCTTCGAAGCTAAAATTTATAAACTAAATTTTAATTTACCAGAGCTTATTGGGAGGAATGGTTCATTCAAGAAATTTACGTAAAGCCTTACTTAAAAATGTTTGAAAAAATTTCATTTGGCTGTTTTTTATTGGATTTAGGTCTTTAACGTATAAATTGATCAAGGTCTTGTAAATCACGTTTGCTCTGATTTGAAGTTTCAAAATTAAAAAGAAAGCTTTTAATGTACTAAAAATGTTGTGAGATTTTTATTTACACATATAATGCTGTAATTTTAATACGTTATTAGTATATCTAAATATGTCTCTGATTATTAACTTAATTTATTTTAACTTATTATTCTGATAATTTTAAATTGCCAAAAGAATATATTGTAACTAAAACGATTTCATTAAAATCTACTATTAACTATCCATTACTTAACAGAATCGTTAGTTTTAAAAATAACAATAACCCATTAAATATTAAATAACTCTGTTAGGTACACCTATAGATAATGGCCTTTAATGTAATGTTTTATTACAACTGACATTGAGCGCGAATGCCGATGAATGTTTGACGGTCATTGTCTCTATATTAATTTATATCATATGACTTGCCGTATTACTGATCTTTTTTTTTATACATAGTATTTATGAATTCTGACTAGAACAAATTATAATTAAATTTTTATTCAATTTTGAGTTTGAAGGTCAACTTAATACAACTAAGGGCTGAAGCGTGTTCAGGATTAAGCTTTACGACAGATCCGGATAAAATTAATGTAATTTGAACATATACAGTACTATAGAGACGTTTTACAATGTTTTTTTTTTGGTTTATTATTTGAGAATAAAACATTTTTTGGACCTCATGAATAGAGTTGGCTTAGAAAATAGGGTAGTCCTGAGTTTTCCGTCCTATCTCTGGGCACATTTGTATTTATACTTGATTCTTATGGATAAGTTATGCTTAAACTATTCTTAAGTATGATAGTTTAAATTCAGCTTGTTCTATATGAACAAGATTCTTATAAAATGGAGATAATATTATAGAGATTTATTTTAATTTATAGAACATTATAGTAATATTTTATATTTTTTTTATTATATTTTATAAAAAAAAATATTTAAATTGTAATAAAAATTATAAGTTATTCTTAGTGTAGGCTACTAATATTTTATGATTCAGACATGAATTTACCATTACCAACCTCTATTTAAAAATGATTGTTATTAAATAAATGAACGTTTTTTTACAAGACGACCTTGGATTTTTGTAATTTATATCTTGCTGAGTACCGTTATTGAACCAACGCAAAATAGTTAGCAAAAACTTGTAATACAACTATTTTTTTGCGCTTGAATATAACAATAATTTATTTTTTAACTTATAGTCAAATATGTAACAGAAAATAATAACTTTAATTAAAAATAAATAATATATATTCGAGCCAGATGAAGTCGAAGTTTAAAGAATTTTAAATCTTGCTAAGATAAATTTTTTCAATGATCTCGTGTTGAACTGGTTCAATAGTATCAAAATTTTAAATTTTTCATAGAATTTATATTTCTTGATATGAAAACATCTTATGCCACGTCTGAACATTTTCGCTTGGGAATGACAATTTTCCAGCGTTATTGTTTTTGCGTTCTCTCTATTAACCCAACTCAACCCAATATAACCAATTCACACCCAATCAAGAGTTTTTAGTGTAAGTTATAATGCATTAAATATACCCTATGCGTATGACAATAGTTTGACTGTTTTAATTTATAATTATTCTATATGTTTATTAATCAATTAACAACGGTGTATACCATCGGTTTCTTTTTCCAAATAATGTTTTTATAATGAATATTTGTTGTCAAGCTCATATATATGTTTTCATATTTTTCGAGACACTTTCTACATATACATTTTTTTATTTTCTAATCCCTCCATTTTAATAATTAAAATATTTGAGAACCACTAAGCCCATATACTAAATTTAATATAATATCTTATTATTACTTTAAAAAACAACTTATGGTGTTATTACCTTCGATGCTAAGCTAAGAAGGTATTTTATTATTTGGTTTGACGGAAAACAAGATTCTATGTCATACATTATTCTATTTGCTTCATAAAAATGTAATTAATATTTTTGCAATTTTTTCAAAAGTTTACATGAAATTAATTTTTATAAGTATATAAATAAGTAATTATTAATGAAATATCATTTATTTTACAACTGTACAACCATAAGCCATGGTTGAAAGGTAAGGTCGTTGTACTTGCTTAAAACTGGTTTTAGTTTTCAGAGTAAGTGTCTTTGAGAATAATGAAACAGTTAGTTGAAAGAGTGCAGTTCAAGAACAGAAGACATTCTTATTCAAAATGTAATATTTGTTTTTTAATATTGTTATAAACATAGAAATTAATTAAATAGAATGATTAAGCTTTACTCCTTGAGAGTTTTATAATTAGGTGAGTAAATTATCAGTAAAAATGTATATATAGTTAATAATTTAACAATTTTTTTAATGAATACTGTTTGAAATATGATTTATTTTTTATTCTTTTTTTTATTTGTTTTACAATTTATTGTGTTAATAAATCTCTGTAAATTAATTATTTCTTAAAATAGGTTCATTTATTTTTTAATATTGATTAAAGCAAAGAAAAATAAATGATTTAAAGTGATTAGAGGGGAAGCTCGGGGAAAAGCAGAAAAATTCGAACGTTTGTTTAACAGAAAAAATAAGTACGAAGTATTATTGTCAAATATATTTTATTAAGTAATAATGTTGTAAAGCTCTCTCAAATTTTATACTCTGTTCTAAAAATTAATTTTATATTTATCTATAATAAATTGAAAAACTTATTGAAAATTAAAAAATTATTCTCTTTGTCTAAATATTTTAACTGATCTCAGTTTATTTCAACAAAATTTATTTCATTCGAATCATAAAAATTACTAAATATCACTTTTTTATCTTTTACACCGATAGATAAAAATAATTATTTTATAAATATGAGTTGGAGTTATCTATAGATGCAGTTTGGGATGTCTTGGGGGTCACCCCACAGTTTATAAAATAATACCTATAAGAATTTAGAAAATTAGTATTATTTTTCAAATATTTTTAGGGTGAAGAAATTATATTACGCCTTTCTTCATTTTTTTTATAATTGTAGTTATGGAGTTATCCTTGTGGAAGAGAGGCGTATCTTGTTAATAATCTAAGGTCTCATATTGATCTTAGTCGGTTTCTGAATAAAAATAGTAAAAATTATTTAGAAATATTCAATATTTTTTTAATGATTCAAATATTACTTGATCAAAACACGTGCTTATGGTTACTATAATTCATTAATATGGAAATTACAATGTAGGTTCATTCACACAAGAAATCTTGAATACTTTTTATTCCTAAATACATACCAGAAGAATGAGTATAAATTATGTACGTTATATTTATTACGTATATTTTATTAAGTATCATTATCGGACAAGCATTAAGTCGTTAGTGAAATTAGTTATTCGTCTTATTTTTTGTACGTTAACACTACGAAAAATTAATTTTTTCAATTATATTAGTTGATTGGTTTAATTATCTGAATAACTAAGAATAGCGGATTTTAGTTTACAAGAATGTTAATTCATGAAAATAATTAGTCTAGTTAGACTGAAATACAAGATATTTAATAAAATCTTTTTAAGTTAAGTAAATTTTAACTTGACAAGAAGTTGATTAATTGCAAGGATTAGTGCAAACCGGCTATGTCAATATTTTGAAATTATTCATATCTAAAGACTAAATCATTTTAGCTCTTAACTCTGTATATTAAGTATGGTACGATTAAGCATTAATAATTTTTATATTAATTATTCGATAGGACGGATATACCCATTCATTACATTATATTTAGTAGTGTAACGAAAAAATATTCTTGAGAAAATTGTATTGGTAATTGGAATATTCTTTTGCTAATTATTACAATAAATATATTCTAAAAAGAAACAAAAAAAGTTTTTTAAGAATATTAAAGCAAGCTTAAAAATTATTTGAAGTTATTAATATTTATTGAAAATTTATAATAGAAATATATATTACTTTGTCGAGAATCACATAATAACAAAAATATCAAAAATTGTCTAAAAAACATAGACAAACATTCCTTTACTTACTGAACATCTTGTATAACTTTTTCCCTACATTTAAATATTTAGTTTCCTTTTGTTTTATATTTTAAATATTTTAAAATTTCACAATTAAATTAGAAATAATTACATTATTTGCAAAATACGATAATTAGACTCTTCCTTTTATTAAGGAAAATATTTTGTTTTGTTGTCGTTACCCATTGTACGGAAATGATTTGAAAATAATAATACACATAGATCAATTTTTTTAAAACAAACTTAGAATAATCCAAAAAGGAATTTCTATTATATTAGCTTCAATGTGACTACGAGAGCAATTAATTTTACATGGTGTATTTATTTGTTTATTGTTATTATTTTTTATGTCTATCTTTATAAATTTTCAGCTATTACTTGACGAAAATTGTCAATTAACACTTAAAACATCTTAAATTATATTTAATTGAAGACATTATTCTCTAAAATTGAATAAATCCCTGAAATTTATTTTATTAAGAAAAATATCTAAAACAATAACAATTATTTAAATCGATTAATTTTGACTTGTTTTCATTTTTTAATATAACTTTTTTATAATATTAGAATGAAAACGAATTTTGTATATCTATAAAAATTGTCATTTATTGTTTTCCTGGTTTTTAAATACCGTTTCTTAAAAATAGCAACATTTGTATAAAAATTTAACTTCTTCATTTTAAGTTTTGATCATGTTTCAGAAAACTCAAAACTTTTACATAAAATATTCGTTGAATAATAGCATTAGTAATTTACATTAAATTGATCTTACGGCTTGTTTTATATAGGTAATCGATCACTAAACTTAAAAAAAGTAGAACGTTAAATGGTTAATTTTGTATGATGAAGTATTTTTTTTTTAATTTTTTCACTCAGCTCCTAGAAAGCAGATATATTAATGGAAATCAGAATACTTATGAGTTTATATAACCTTACAATCCAAAATATTTTATCAAACTTTATGCATATACGCATCAAAATATTTTATGTTAGGCATTCTTATCATTTTCAGATTTAAATCTACACTAGTTTCAACTACACCTGGTTTCCAATTTTTTAGGTTCTGACTGTATTGGAATTTTTTAAAATTAAATCTACTTATTATATTTTAATAATGAAGATGCTCTGATTTGTGCTTAACTATTTATTATTTTTTGTTATTGTATCAACTTGTAGGACTTTCATTTATTATAATGGCATTACGCACATTAAAATTATTCACAAATAAAGATGTATGTAGAAAAATTAATTATGATTACTCATTAGAAGTATTGATTAAGTAATGATCAAAGATAACTTATTCACTATTTTAATATATGTCTATTTGTTTATGAGAAAAGTAGGTTCGTCGTACTTCCAGATATTATTAAAGTGGTTTTAGGAACTAGATTACATATAAATGGATATTTAATAACTGTAGAGGATTGTGTCTTTAATTCAATTAGTTGATAAGTATAGTTGAAGAATATATAGCGTTTCTATTTAAAATTAAGCATTTTAAAGCATCTTAATTATGTTAAACAAGAAAATTAATAATCGCATTAAGTATTCATTTAGGAAGTAGTCATTACTAATTATATAAAAAATAATTATGTCATAAGATATATTATTATTGTTTATATATATAAATTATTGTTGATTCAAATATAGTTTGCTTTATATTTTAAACAAATTATTTCAATTATTATAGCATTTAAAAAATTGCTAAAAATAATACTAAAGATTTAAGAAAATTATTTTTATCAAATGAGATTTTTTATTATATTTTACATATTTTCACATTCTTTTAAAAATTATTTAATTAGGTAAATTTTTCATTTAGCGTTGTTAAATTCCAAAAATTTAATAATAAGAAAATTTTGATAAAGTTTAAAATTTTTATAAGGTATATTAAAATACAATACCAAGAGTTTTAACACAAAATTATCAATTATGTTGAATGTAATAACCATTTTCATTATATCTCGAAATTTTTTTTTTCATAGTAAAGTATATTACATAAGCTTTAATTTAAGATAAAAGTGTCAATATTTTCGGAAATTTCCAAAAATGAAGTTAAGAAATAGTTTAACTTGTGTGTAAAAATTGTTATATTAAATCCCCCTTAAGGGCAGGTCAAGAGTCAAATTTAAAAAAATGTATATCAAATAAAAGAAAAACATTTAAGGTTTCAATACAAAAAATAATTCTTTAATTTGTTTATTTTTCTAAAAGTTATGGCAGTTTTAAGTATNTAATTCTTTAATTTGTTTATTTTTCTAAAAGTTATGGCAGTTTTAAGTATTAAAATATTTGATGTTTAACAGTGATTTTTACATAAAAATTATATTTTTCATTAAATTTGACGGTCATTAAGAAGAAAAAGTGTCGGTATAAATTATTTTTTTTGAGCTTATAGTATTTATCGTAAACTTTTTTTTAGTTATTAGTAAGGTGAACATAATG